TATTCTCCGTGGTCTGCATATGAAAAGCCGACACCGATAGGTTGGTCGATGAAGAAGATATTCGCGTTCTCGTTCCAAGAATAAGGATTGAAAGTGACGTTGTGAACATCATTGACTCTGCAGGGTCCTTGACGGGATGACACGTGAGAATCAGCAAAAGACGCGTCGGCACGCGCAGCAGGCCATACCTAGTTCCATGAACAGTCCGAGCGAAGAGGAGCATCCAGGTCCGCCGTTCGTCCAGAAGATGACATCGTCCTTGTCAGGGTTGCTCCGGCTTTCGAAGAAATAGAAAAATAGATGTCTGGCTTCGATGTCGATGTACCCGGTGAAGGCCCTGGATATCTGGGGCTAAGCATTGGGAAGTTGGCACATCGGAAATGCCACTCTACCTCACAGTCCCGTCACAGAAATCCGACTTCTTGATACGCACGTTGTAATTGGGGAACGTCGGGTGCGCGAGGGCCGTGAACTCTGAGGTGGATAGCAGGCCGAGGTCCTCAACGGGGCTGAAGAGTCCCGCGTCGTATGACTCGAACTTGCCGCCGCTGAGTGCGAATGGCTGCTGAGCGCCGCTCACGACGGAAGATGCAGCGAGCCCAAGGAGGGCTACGCCGCCAGCAAGGGCTGAGAACATGGTAGTGGATGGTGGGTGTGGATAAGACTGTCTCTGTCCATGGGAGCGGCCATATTAGCGAAGTTGATACAACTGTCATCGACTGAATGGATATCTAACCAGCCAAAATATTCAGAACCCACGCTTGGGATTTTTCAAGTCCGACGTGGGTTCCGCCCGGAACCTTCCGGGCGTGCTAGAATGGCTGGTTTGCGAGACTAGTTCATTTTGAGCCTCAAATGTCACGCATACGGTGAGGCGCTGCAAGATATCTCCCTAGACCTGTCGTTGGGGCTTCTTTCATCTACATGATCTAATACCAATGGGTGTCGGCAGTCTACATTTGCAGCACACGATGTCAGAATGGGATGGACGCACACAGCTGCAGGCGGTCCAGATCTCGCTGTCGCGCATATGTACGCGTCCTGCAGTGTCAAGAGCCAACAGGAATGTTTCAATCCTCAATTAGGTACTTGCACGACCTCGCCCTGGATGCTGACCGCCCACGCTACGCTCGGGAGAGCATTCAAAGGATGCGATTTACCCCAGCGCGCTCGAATAAGTCCTAGTTCCTGCAGATCATGATGTCCGGCCTACCAGAAGACGACCGTTTGCAGCTATTCCCAGAGGCCGGCATCGGTGGCGAGGAACGTAGCCTCATCGAAAACTGGCTGAATTTCGTCCAGGGGGACTCAGTTCACTTCCTCATGCTCTGCCTGCCAGCCCAGCACCCAAAGATCGGCAGCGACATACTGTACTTTTACCACCATGTCGGATGTCACACGTCCCACCAGTTTTTCGCTGACCCCGCCTATAATTTTTCTCGATTTACGGAGATTTTGGCGAGTTGTCGGAAAAATCCAATTTTGGCACTTTCGTTCTATATGGTCGTACGCTCAAGGAGCACCACCAAGAAAGCAGGCCTCTTCTTCCCGGCATACATTCAGCGCAAGCCTCCGTCGAGCTCATAGTCTGGTCCCGCCGTCGAGTACGGCTGAGACTGCGCGCGCGACAAGGACCTCGTCCAACGTATGGAGGAATACCACTAAAATGACCTGCAGAGTGGTATAAACGCCTGACGAAATATCTCACATTGCAGGAGTGCGAAATTGAATTGCGGGCGAAGATGAAGGCCGGCGTTGAGCCGCTGGGCGACGTCCTTCCCAATCTCTTCGCAAGGCTCAGTGTCTTGTACGACGTGACGCATGAACAGGATCTGAAGCCGGGCCGCAAAGAGGTAATGGCCGAGCTCTGCAACTGAGTATGCATACGTCGTGGCGCGCTGATGGCCGATAATGCGCATCAGACCGGGGGCCACTCGTGACGGCAACATCTCCCCGACCTCTTCCATAAGTCTCAAATATTCCTTGACTCCTTCCTGGCTACCCCATTCTACGCTAGGGATATGCCAGACCTAGTTAATTTGAGCCTACGGCTTAGCCTCCATATTTCTCACGGCATTAGCCGCATGCTAGCACGCAGCAGAGCTTGTCGCCAGCGTTATCGTTCCGGCACCACACTGTCAGCCGTCAAAATGCCGCCCGACGAATGAAGGCGAAGCGTCCGTGTAAGCGCGTGTGGTGGTATCCTCGTGGACTCGTGAACTCGTGCATGGGCTCTTTCTGACTCGGAAAACAAGCGTCACTTCGTCAACTGCGGTAGTGCCACTGCTGGGAACGCTGATCGTTCGAATTGGATCGGCGTTCACACAGAAATCCAGGAGTCGCGGTACCGGTATATAGGGAAGACCCAGAGAGGACACTTAACAACAACAGGCGGTTGAGCGCATCCACGATGGCGTTCCGTACGGCCCTCTGGAGCACCCTCGTCTTCACCATTGCACATCTTTCAGGACATGTGGGAACCGTTGGTGGAGCTCGAACTCCCGTGACAGCTTACGGGAACGGTCCAAATTTCGACCACCAAGGCCATACCGTGGCTTCTCAGCCTTTCGGAGACTTGTCATACCTGTCCTCGACTGACTATACCCGTCTCGGCCACAGCGCCTTTCCTCATTATAACGTGCGGATCAAGAGGTCAGACTTCTGCGACGGTACCGCAAAGTATGCACTTTCGTGCTGCGGCAATACTGCACTGACGCGTCTGGCTTGCTCAGCGCATACACAGGGTACATCGACATCGAAGCGAGGCACTTGTTCTTCTACTTCTTCGAAAGCAGACGCGACCCCGATCGTGATGACGTGCTCCTCTGGACCAACGGTGGACCTGGCGGGTCGTCCTCTACCGGTCTGTTTATGGAGCTCGGTCCCTGCAGGGTTACCAGTCCCACGAATATCTCTTTCAATCCCTATTCGTGGAATGAGTACTCCAACATATTCTTCATCGACCAGCCAATTGGTGTCGGTTTCTCGTATGCTGACCATGGAGAGACTGTGGTAAGTCAAGATAGTACATTATAATGAGCTAACTTGAACACCTGCATGTAGAGCACTACCGAAGAGGCTGCGAAGGATGTCG